CTCTCTCTCTCTCTCTCTCTCTCTCTCTCTCTCTCTCTCCCTTTTTCATTTTGTTTTCCTTTTCTATTAAAAGATTTTTTTTTGGTGGTGCCGGCAACTCATTGTGATGTGTATTATTTCTTGAAATTTAATTTGTGGATAGGATGGTGTAATTGTCTTGTGGTGTCCCGATGAGTGCCATTAGAGAGATTAACTGAGGAGTGCTTGTTTTTGCCCTTGTTTTCTGGAATGAAATGGAGGCCATTGCAAGTATGAAGATCTTTGTATTTTGAGAATTGAATAGTTGTACTCTGATGTGAAAACAAGTTTAGTTCAGGGAATGAAATAGTTGTACTATGAAATGGAAGTGTTTGGGGAGTGCAGGCTGCAGCTAGCTCGAGTCCATCTCGGGAGTGCAGGCTGCAGCTTGTTCAAGACTTGTGAACTTGGGAGCATATCCTAAGGGCTTGTTTGATTTTTCAGACGGGATTTGATTATTTTCCGGGCTCATGCATTTAGTCTAATTCTACATATTTGGCATATAAATAGACTTAAGTCCTAAATGATATGGACAAACTTAAGTAAAAAAACTTAAAAATTATTCAATGTAAAAATAAAATACTAGGTCTAGCATATATGCCAACCAATAAAAATACTCTAATATGTTTCTTTTATTAAAAGAAAAATTAAATTAGGAATAAATGATTTGTACTTGGATCCAAAATAGTCCTAAGTTTTGACTTGATTTTATTTATTTATTTTTTTTTTTTATTGCCACATAAGCTAGAATAGGTCCACTTTTAATTGCATTGTGAAACACTATTTTATATATTAGGTCTATTTCCTACATGACATGTGATTTTTTTCTAAGAGACCATAAGGATTGTGGGTGCGTTTTGTCACGCCCTTATTATGCGTGGGCTGATTTGGGTCCGGAGGAGCAAGGCGGTTATGTTTGGTAAAACTAACTGATAAGCTAGCTGATAGCTGATAAGCTAGCTTATAGCAGCCCGAAGCTTATGCTTTTTTGAACCTAATCGTAGATGTTATGGCAGTCATACCTGTGTTTTTTTTCTCTTAGCTTTTTGTTTGGCAAGCTGCTGTAAGTTTTCAATGAGATCCTTAATTTTAATAGAAATATCCTATAAAATCCAAAATTTCTTCCAAGATTTCTTCGAAAAAATGATAAGATCTGATAAAATCACAAAAATATGAGAATATGGGCCGACGATTTGCACATTGAAATTCTTAGATAGTCACCTTAAATCTGGCTTACACCAACTTCCTCATTTTTTACCCTTTTCATGCTTATATGTAATTTTTTAGCTTATATCTTATGGCTTATGACTTATAGTTGAAAAGTTAGCTTATATGATAGAAGATGTTTGGTAAATTAACTGATAAGCTAGTTGAAATAAAAAATTCAACTAAAAGCTACCTAAAGTAGCTTATGAAATAAGCTCGAGCTTTTTAAAAAAGCTCGTCGAAATAAGCTCGAGCTTTTAAACAGGTAGTTTATAAGCTAACAAAATAAGCTATAAGCTAGTTTATTTGGCTTACCAAACATACCCGTAACAGTTTGGTTGAAATGAGGCATTGTGCATGATATTATCATATTAATGGGTAGTGGTTGTTATTCAACTAATTAAGCTATTATCTTGCGTAGGATAAGTCTTACTACTACATGGTAGGAGAATACCTTCACTTATTTTATCTTGTAGTTCAACGGTATAATTTTTATAAAATTAAGAATTCCAGGGCACTTATATAGTAATCACAAATCCTTGTGTGTTATAGAATAGTAGGCTAAATTTCATTTTTAGTATATTATGGTGACCATTTTCGAAAGACGTCCATTATATAGGACATCATTAAGAATGTTCACTAAGTTGACACTTTAATCGAAACTGGTACAATAGTCAGCATAATGTACTAAAAATAACAACTAAAATTGATCACTTTTAGTATATTGTTAGTTATTGTACGAATTTTGATTAAAGTGACTACTTAGTGGACCATTCTTAAAATCGCCCTATATGATAGACATTTTTCAGAAAATGGTCGACATATTAGACCATTTTGAAATTCTGCCCAACATAGCCTAACCGTTAGGCGGGTCAATTTGTCATATTATTTAAACGAAAAAATATATATTTGTGTTAGAAAAAAACATGATGTTTTTTCCATTAGTTTACTTGTTAATTTTATCAGTTGCCACGGCTATAGTGGAAAGAGTTTTTTTCCGGCAATTAAAATCATCAAAAGTACAATACGCAGTTGAATTGGCGATGAGCTTTTGAATGATTGTTTAGTGAGAAACATATATTTCGGAACATTAATTAGCAATGAGGCTATCATAAACGATTTCAAAACATGAAAAATAGAAGAAAACTGTTATGATCTCTCAATGTTATCGTAAGTTATTTTCCCCAATACTCGGATACATGTATTAAGTTTATTTAGTCGGTACCAGTATTGATTTATTTATTTTTACAGTTGATACATTTTTATTTTTTTTTTTTTTATTTTATTATTAGTTGCGGCCTTTGAATAAAATTTCTAGATCCGTCACTACGTCGACAAAATTATAAAATGAACATTGAATTTCGAATGAAATTTAATTCTTCTATTACCCTACTTATGATCCAAAAAACCTAAATAATGAACGACAAAAAAAAAAAAAACCACAAATCCAACATCCTGCACACACTAAACTTCTTGATTATAATACAATACAATCACGAGGGTTTTGTTTTTTTCCCTATCCTGCATTTAACACACCAAACACTAATTTCACTTACATATATATTGCATGCATAAAACAATAACTTTTAGATCCTAAATGCAGTATAGGAAAATGATTATTCAATCCATTAATTATACATTTTGTATATAGACAGGTCAAATTAATTTACGATAATTACAATTAAATTAACAGCTGTTAATGCCATTAAATTTGGGATCAATTGAAGCATCCACAGCGTCTTCTACGGACAGAAAAATTCTACCACCTCCAATTTTGTCTATCAATTTTGCTGCCTTCATTTTCGTGATCACTTGCCACCTTGGATTCACCACGGCTAACTACAAAAATGAACACAAATCAATTAATGAAGTAATTAAAAGATATAACTAAATGAAACAATTCATTTAGTTTAGAACATTATAGTATGGGTCGTTCTTCGAGTGCATGAATTCCAGAACTGTCGATGTTCGTCACATCTGAGAAATAAATATGTTACAAAAAATAGAAAATTGCAATAGAATTGAAATTAATTTACAACTTGAAAAACGGAAAGATTATAGTCAAGGCTGTAAGAACATTAGTTTGGCATCATGTCCGACAAACCTAAGTGTTTTCTAGAAGATTTCTTGTTAAGCAAGCAAAATAAATTAAAGGGAAGTTTTTCTATTTATTTACATGTGATTTAATTAAGTTCCTAATATTTATTACTAATAATATATGGTATATATTTATTGTAGTATGTATTATGCATGGAATCCTAATCCTTTAGGAGAAGGATTACATAATATATATCTTATATATTTACTTATCATATATGCCGCATGCCATAATTAGTTCTCTCTTTCTTGTAGGACAAGGAATAGGTGGCAAGGACTATGAAAGGATGAGCTTTCCATACAAGAAGAGTTCTGGACGTTCATGAGAAGATCTAAGGAGGATTTAGAAAGATTCACCACAAGATCTTTGAAGATTTGGAAGATCGGCTATTTTTGGAAAGTCATGTTCTTACCAGATTCTTGGAACGCCTTTTTCCATTGGAAGCTCAATTCCGAAGATCTCCAAATCACATGCATGATTTCTACATCAAGGAAACTTACCTTACATGAAGGATTTCGTCCAAATCAGAAATGAATCAATTGAGAAGGAAATTGACTCCTAAAAGGTAAAGGAAGAACTGTGAAGACTCCTTACCTTAAGGAGGTTGTATATAAGCCTACTCAAACAATCAATTGAAGACAAGAGAGCTGCTGCAAATCAAGTTCATCATTCATCAGCTTCAATTGAGTGTTTGAGAGTTTCTATTATTTTTATTTTATTCGGTTCACTTTTTCAGCGTTCTTACATTGCTGAAGAACTGAACTCGTTTTGTTTCTTTTCTTTTAAAAACACTTTATTTTAGTGCTTAGGGATTAAGTACTGGGTTTTGCTCGAGGGATTTGAGTATGTAAAGTCCACGGGACGTGGCCGGAGAAGTAGTTGATAGGATCGTGTGTAGTTGTGGCTAGACTAGAAGGGAGTTCGAGTCGTGTAAGTCCAAACTATACAAGTGTGAACGGTTTATCAATGAAAGAGCTCTGAGGGGAAGTGGGACGCTTCCCTGAAGAGTTTTAAAATCTTCGGTTTATTGCTTCCGCTATTTACGTTGTTTATCCACGTTCGTACTACATTTCGCGCACTCGCAAGTAATTATACGTTTCAATTGGCACCAGAGCAGTGTTCCTGTTCTAACTACGGGATAAAGATCTTTGGGACTGTGTGTCGGTCACCATGAACCACGATATGTCTGTTTCGCGCCCTCCGTACCTCGATGGTTCGAACTATGGGTACTGGAAATCCATGATGGTAATTTTTCTTCGGTCTCTTGGAAAAGGAACTTGGCAAGTCATCGAATCAGGTTGGTCAACACCTTTGATGGAGAAATCACCCTCGAAAAAGAAGGGAGGATCCTCGTCCTCTGATGTTGGTCCTCGTGTTCTTGTTGAAAAACCGAGAGATTTGTGGACTGATGCGGAAAGACTAGCAGAAGAAGCTAATTTTCGGTCTCTATATGCTATCATGTCTGCTGTAGATCCCACTCGTCACAAGATAATCATTCAGTGCACGACCGCTCAAGAAGCCTGGAGGATTTTGGAAAGACAGTTTGAAGGTACAAACGCGGTAAAAACCTCAAGGCTCCAAAGAGTTTCTACGGAACTAGACGAGATTCGCATGAGGGATGATGAGACTATTGACATGTACTATGCCAGGTTCTGCGATCTAGTAAACCAAAGTGCAATGCTTGGTGAACCGGTTCCAGAGGCTAGACAAGTGCAGAAGTTAATGAGAACTCTACCGGATAGGTTTGGAATTAAGATTACAGCTTTGGAGAGTTTTCAGAGAATTCAAAAGCTGGGCATTGATGACCTTCTCGGTGAGTTGCGTACCTTTGAAATAAATCATGGATTTGACTCGATGAAGATAGGGAAAGGAAAAGGCTTAGCTCTAAAAGCCAAGGTTCGTACACCTGTGTTGGAGGAGGAAGATTCAGATGAAGAATCTTTCGATGCCGAAGAGGATTATGATGATGAGTCTCTTCATGCTGAAAGTATTGCTAAGGCTTTGGATGTTATTACACGCCACTTTTCTCAGTTAAAGAAGAAAAAGGGATTCAAAGCGAAGAAATCTGCCGATTTCAGTAAGAACACCAACCAGCAGTCTG